TCAGGTTGTGCGTCTGTCCGTCCCACTCTCATGACAGCGATATCCCAGAAACACTTTGAGGGAATTTCTGCAAATCTGGCACAAATGTTCACTTGTACTCAAGGATGAACTGATTACGATTTGGCGGTCAAATGTCAAAGGTCAAGTTCATTGTGACCTCACAAAACACATATGCCTTACGCTGATTATGACAAAATTGAACACAAATGTTTAATAGGATAAAATGATCAAGTGATGACATTTTATATTCACAAGGTTAAAGGTCAACTTCACTGTGACACTGTGACACGTCTGACCATCATTCAATGCTGTAACTCTAACAGAAGAGGAGTTTGTGACCATATTTCACATTTGGTTGGAAGCTCATTGGTCACACGAATGGGTGCCCACCTTGTTGTGATTCTATAGATCCTCTGTGCTGCTGGGTTGAAGATGTGTGTGAAGCATCAATGGTTTAGAATTTGTAGTTTCTTTGCAGCAACATCTATATTTGAAGCATTGTTTATTGTCATGGCTACACCATTACCTATGGGTATTACTATTATTCTTTTCACTGTAACGATCAACAGCTGTTCCAGGTCTCCCCCGCATATACTAAATACAGTATATGTGTCTGGGCAGTGGATGTAAACTGAAACATGACTCGTTGGCGGAGGCATTCAACTGCGAGGCGGGAATTCTAGCTGACGGTTCCTTGATCCTTCACTGTCATGCCATTTAATTAGTGCCGAGAATGTAAACCACCTCCCCTTTGTTGTGTGATAGGCATCTCTTTCCAAGGTTTGGATGCACTATCACAGAGTGAAAGTACATCAAAGCTAGTAAAATAACATCTCATACTTTGAGGAGGTGTCTGAAGCGTGTGCTACCTGTGAAGAGGACAGGGCTGAATTTCCCCTTTGAGTATGAGCAGTGTCTGTGTGACAACCTGGAAACAAACACAACAAAAAATCCCTCTCAGCTGCAGTCATGCGGCTCTGTTTTTGCACCTATGCACCAACGGTGAGCGCAATGCGTGGCACCATTTTGTTAGCTCAGCAGCCTATTCCCAATCACAGAAAGCTCAGAGGTACAAAGGCCCTTGAAACACAATATAGCAACAGGTGCTTTCAGCTGCTGCAGTAAACTGTTGAGCTAATTCAAGATGTGATTTCAGAAGAAAGAGCTCAAAGTAAAGGGAGAGAAGGAAAGTCAATATTTTAACATCCACTACATATTCTTAACTTGGTTTACTATTACCATATGGAGAGTAAATAATTTTCATATCATGCATTCCCTGAATAATTATGCTAATGACCCCATGAGCAAAATAATGATTACCTTTCTGGCTCATTTGAATAATTATTTGGTTAAGTGAGACAGTAAGCATTGGATTTTGTTTATGTTAGATTCACTGTGATCGTATTATTCTCTTGTAATTGCAGTGTATTGTCATGCCAGAGAATGATCGATGGTGTTTTGGTGTCTCCATATTATCTGTATGAAATGGGAGAAAGAGGATTTGTTTGAAGTGAACCCTCCATTATACCATACAGAAAAACTTAAACAAAACAAGTATATGAGGGGCAGATTTTGATATGTTACTGTAGCTGTGTGTATTTTTCTTCACACGTTTTCACCAATGGATATTTCTGTATATCAACATTGCAGTTCAAGGTTATTTTTTGCAGGATCACACACATCATAGTGTGAAATTTACGGTTTCAAGCGGAGAATTTCAGTCTACATTGAACCACGATCACGTTCGCTGAATTTTACTGGACATGAGAGAACACATCAGAAAATGAATGACTTTATCGTGAACATTAAAATAGAGACCACACATCTCATGTACTGCATTGAAATTTGTTTGCCGGACTACTGGGTGTCCCCGTATTGATTTGTACGTGTCACTCATCTCCCCATGTACCAAAAATACCATCCCACACCAGGGTGAGAAAGTAGTTCAGCCTCGGGCCCAATCAATAGAGAGAGGCTTTCGGAGGTTGTTTACAACCATGCTTTTGGTTCATGATGCACAAACCCAGCTGGCGAATAAAATGTGCTTAGAGGACTGCAATTTTGTTTGATTTCCAGACATTTGAACACAAAAATGTACCATTATTGCAGTTGTCATCAGTATGGTTGAAAAGTTGCTAGTGTTTTTCAGTAGGAGTCATAACGGTATTCTCGAGCACACATTTATCTCCTCATTGCTCCAGTCTCTGTTTTCCTACTTAAGCAGAGAGACTGCATCAGTTCTAAATCATAAAACCAGAAGCTGAGATTGTAAAGGCTCTACAGAGCGGTTTTAAGTGTTTTAACAGTGTTCCTGGGACACAGAGCATCAGTGGGTTTGGCTGCGGATTTGGAGATCAAACTCAGAAGTCTTGCACATGGCCAAAGAACTAGATCACTTCCAGCCACAAAGTAGGCCAGTGCAGCCTAATGTATCCCACCCAGCCATATGTAACTGCTGACCAGTTGATCCATGTGAAGTCTATATGTCCCCTCTATAGTAAGACAAACTAGGGTTCAGTCCATTCTCAGAGAGTTAACAGAAAGAAATGTATTAAGTGTTGATGATATACTGTATATAATCTAATATACATATATATATATATATATATATATATTAGATTATATACAGTATATCATCAAACAGCTCTTGATTGGTGTCATTCAGGCCAGTTTCTTCTCCTCATGTGGTTGTATTGATCCGTATCCTGTTCAATTCTTACACTTATATGTTTTAAAAAGCTTTTAAATATCTCATTTCCACCATGTGTGGCCAATCTGAAAGGCTTTTTCCTTTTGATGAGACAACTGGCGAGAACAGACGTGTCTCCATTATACAGCTGCCATTTCCCAGTCAAGGTTTGAGTATAGAAATTATAATGTGGCAGTGACTGATGTTTTACATAGGTTCTTATGGTTACTACACATGGTATAGCTGATTTTTGATGGAACTCTGCTGGAGTGCATTGACATGAACTAAAGATTGGCTGTCAAGTCCTGTTCCGAACATGCCGTGTTTTCATTTTTTCCACTTGGGCTTTTTCTCTCAAGCCAACGTCTCTGATAAATTGTTTATCACCTTAAGCGTTTCTTTTTGACTCCAGAGAGAAAAGAGCTGCAAAAATGAAATATGGCTGAAACCTATCATATTTGAAAGCCTTTACTTTTTCATGACTATTGGTCACATGAGAAAGTTTGCTGTCAAAAAGAGCAAGTAGAGGAAAAAAGATCCTTCCCTTATGATTGTATGGTCCTAAACAAATAAAGTCTTATAGAGAGTAGATAGGCCAGGGCAGCTACCCTCCCCCATACAGTTATATCCTTTGTTTACTCTGAGCTCTTCACCGAGCACCTTCAGAAGCAGGAGTTTCACCTGATTGGTGCACAAACAGAAGATCAGGCAATACAAACTGACATTTATCTTCCTTTGTAAAATACCACAGTAGCATTTCCTGGTGCAGGGCACAATACAGAATGCTAATTCCCTACCATTGTAGCGTAGCATTCAATCAGACAACAATAATTATATTGGTAGTTAACTGATGAAGCATCCAATAGGGTAAAATGAACTCAGCCATTCCAGGCCGAATTAGCGGAGCTGAAGTCAGTGTCTTTAAGCAAACTCCTGCCACACAAAGAACATCTCACAGGATGACTCATCAAAAGAAAAAAAAGAGTGCTTTGTAATTATAAACAACTGCACATATGGATCAGTCCGGCTTGTCCAGTTGCCAGACAAGTGAGAAGTTGCATGAGAAGTTGTAATGACATTTTTTATTCTCTCTCCTGTGACTGTAGACTAAACCTCATTAGGAAAATAGAAGCTTGGAAACACTAACAACATAATAACAATAACAACACTGTTATTTTATGGCTCAATGAGGTGACTGGGTCACCAATGGCTGCAGGGAGACTGTAGTTATTATTCAGTGCTGCCAGTAGTTCTGTCAAAGTCCGCAGAGGGGCAGCTGGCAATCTTTTTAAGCTTCATGCCATTCTCCTCTAATACTTGACATAGCTGCAAAAAGCTGCTCTAACCAAAAATATCAGTTCATGTATGTAGATGACTTGTATTTTAAGTATGGCTTTTGGCGTGGTTCACGTTTGCACAGCACAAAGCCACAGTATTGATTTCTTTTCTATTTTTCCTACCCCCTCACCGTCTCTGACACACACACACACACACACACACACACACACAAACACACAAACTTTTCTTTTTTCAGCCTCCCAATAGCCTCAGTTCGATTGTCAGCACTGCAAAGTGGATTAAATTGCGCTCATGTTGTACAGATGCTTGTTGTACTTTTTTTTCATTTTGGATAGAAAAATGAGCGTTGCAAATAAACCACAAGTCTCTAGTGTGATAGACTCTGCGATGACAGTGTGTTCCCATATTGAAATGAAACACAGGACAGCACTATGGCAAAGAAAAACCAGTGGGGGCTGACTGTTTAATATTAAAAAAAAAAAAAAAGAACGACAAAATCAATTCCTGAGGGAGTTGCATTTTTTTTCCATCACATCAGCTGTCACATTTGGTTATTAGTGTTGTTTCAGTGTGCCTCCTGTACATAGACGGTCACAAAGGGTTACAATGCTACAGACATTTTACCCGACAAACTAGACTTTAATGACAATTATCGATTTTTTCAAGGACCAGTTCAGGCATGGGGGATGACATACTAACATCATTAGCTCACTGGTGCAGTTGAGATCTAAACTCAATATACTGATGTATCTCAGGCTCGGATTCACTGCCCACATATCAGTGTGATTCATTTTGCTAAACAGTTATAGCCACTTAATTAAGAAAAAAGAATGAACATCCTCAAAACAGCTGCTTTTTTGTATATCCAGCATATCCAGGTGTGATATCCTGTGTCTTCCGGCTTTCATACCATTTTTCTCTGTGTCAGCCGAACTATACATCTCTCTTCGATTTACACTGATAGAGCTCTTTCTTTCTCTTTCTCTCTCTCTCTCTCTCTCCTCTCCCTCAGGGTGTAGTCGAGCTGCCCTGCCGTTCGGCTTAGTACGGAGGGAGCTGTCTTGTGAGGGTTACCCCATCGATCTGCGCTGTCCAGGAAGTGATGTCATAATGATCGAAAGTGCCAACTATGGCCGAACAGACGACAAGATCTGCGACGCCGACCCTTTCCAGATGGAGAACATCAACTGCTATCTTCCAGATGCCTACAAGATCATGTCACAAAGGTAAAAACCACAGACATCTCTGTGCAGTACCAAAAAATGAGGTATCTGCCAGTTACAGGATCCTTATAAAATAATTGACAGGGCCTAACAGTAACTGGCGCATAGTTGCCCTGAGCAACCAGATCTGGACCAGAGTCAACCATTTCATTTTGTCTGGTGCCCCTGTTGCCATCCGTTTTCCCATGTTTAAAATAATCTCCTGCATCCCTTTCCTTTGGAGTAAAATCTTCCTCCAAGGAGAAGAACAGGGCTGCCGTAAGATTGATTTACCCTATCGAAAATAGCAAAACTGAATGTAAGTGTGCAGTGAAAAAAAGAAAAAGGCAACAGTAGCCTGTCAGCATCAATAACCCACAAGACATTAACGTTAGCACCAATACTGAGACAGCTGAACCTGAACGAAAGAGAATTAGAAACTCCATCATAACTTGGGAGGTGAAGCAGGGCTGATAAACAGAAAAGAGCAGATTTAAAAAAGAAAGAAAAAAAAGAAAGAAAAAAAAAAACTGTCAGAGAGCGCACTAATAAACTCACGATGGATGCCAAATTCACATTTCAGAATATGAACATATCAACAACATTTTCACAAACAAAGGGCTGTTTTCAGGATCTCCTCATTTGACATTACTAACTAACTGCAGATATAAGAGGTAATTCTTCTGTCTATTGTAATTTACTCTGTTAAATACATTGCCTTGCAAATGTGCAATCTAGATTAAGTGCGCTAACATTAGTCTATTACTGTTAGCTTTGTTTGGCCTTATTAGTGAAGCTGAGCCCCTTGCTCTCAGCAAAAATCCATTTGGTGTGCGTGTGTGTGTGTGTGTGTGTGTGTGTGTGTGTGTGTGTGTTTGTAATAAAGTAATAGAGAAAAAAAACAACAAAATAAATGTGTGTTGTGTAAGAGAGTTTTAATTATTTTTAATTTAATACGTTAATATGGTATGAATCCGGTCATAAATGATTATAACTCAGCCACCTTTCTCTCAGCTTTGGTCTGCAAAAACTGATGGCAGTTTGCCAGACTCACAAACTTACCCTCTGATTCTGGCTCCGATTGATATAAAAAGTCTGTGTATTGTGCTGATATTGAAAGGATTGTTGGCAGTCTACTTTAGCTTCTATAGATTAGTAGATTAGATGCGAAGGAATATGGCATAGGTATTGTCATTTCTAATTCAGAACAAAAAAAATGTGTGTGTGTTTTTTAAATAAACATTAAACATTTGGATTCCAGATGGAGAATCAATAATTACCTACATCTGACAGTTGAGTGGAAAATGTGCTTCATGTGAAGCATTTCCCTGTGGTGGAAAATAACTGAGTACATTTACTCAAATGCTGTAGACAAATAAAGTTTTTTTGTACTTATACTTCAATCAAGTATTTCCAGTTTGCTACTCATTTGCTTTCACGACAGCACAATTCAGGGACAAATATTGTTAGTATTATATATTTTACACTACACTACATTTATTTAACTGCTATAATTACTAGTTTCTTTCATATTAACATTTTACATCAAAAACATCTGCTCAGTTTATAAAACATGATGCACTGTTTAGCTAACAGTATATAGAAATAGTTCAAATGAGCTCCTTTTGACCAACTACATTGTTTACATGTACTGTTTACATGATAAAGCATTAAAGATATTATACAATAAAACAATTCTGCACAGTTAGCACTTTAAGTGGATTTTGTTACCAATATTTGTGTACATTTACTTAAGATGTTTTTTTTAAATTTTATTTTAATATTGCTGTAATGCTGATTATATTCACTGTTCAGTCTGAATACCTCCACTCAATACCTCCATTGCCTTAACATCAGCATACTGCTCTTCTGTATCGGCCCTTTGGTAAATCCAGTTGGTCAGATTAAGAACAGGCACATAGCAGGACCGACTTAGAGATGCCCCATACCTCCTAAACTCCCACTGATTGATCACTGACCACAGAGATGCCCCACATTTTTAAAGCCACTGTCTCTGTAGCTATCACTCATGTGCAAAGACGGATGATTTATTGTGGAAAGCAAACCCACGGAGGTACATGCTCTTGCTCGCACACACGCACCTCGGCAGGGTTCCACTGGTAACACTGTATACATGAGACCTTATACAGACCAGTTGTCACATAGGTATGCCATCCGTGCCAAAGTGCGCAGGATGGAATGACATATGAGTGCCACAGAGAGAGATATTGGACGGTATGAGACCGTCAGCAACTCTGGAAAGTCGCCTTGGGAAATAAAAAAATAATGAAATAAAACAGTGGAGCCCTTGTATTCAGGGGGTTTATTGTCAAGCCCTATTTGATGAAGTCAGATAGCTGACTCACATTGTCTGTCTTGAAAGGCTGCAGCCTGCCTGCTCCCTGCTTGTGACCCTGTGTATTACGCTGCCCTCAGCCTTGCTCGAACAAAAACAGTCCACTGAAGCACAAATACCGACCCAGCAGGAGCCGCCCGACAACAAATCCCAGACAGTCCCGTCCAAACGCTCCCCACCAGCCTCTGTAGAGGACTCGCGTTCATTCCTCATGTGCATATCCTGGGAGTGCCAGAGGCCGTAGTTCAGATGTTATTTTAAATGTGTTTTTAACATTTCAATGTCACTGCTGAGCTATTGTGCTCCGAGCACAGAGAGAAATATGTGTGCTCCATGAAAAAGTCCTGTGATACGAGAGGTCTCTCTCAGGTGTGTGGGTTCAAAAAAATCACGCAAAAAGAATCCCACTAGAATTTACATCAAATACCACATGAAGAAATCTGAGAGATCAAGTGATGCAGAAGAGTGACGGGCACATATTTACATAAAGTACAAATAGATAGATAATAACTTTTATGTGTGCACGTTTTTGTGAGCTGTATCACCATGTGTGAGAGGAGATTGATATTGTTATATAAGAGAAAATGAAGCTTAGATTTCAAGATGCACAGTTTAATTCTTATATAGTCGATATCATAAAAACAGTGTTCACATAATCAGAGCAGAAATTTAAAACGGTCCACTGTCATGAAAATAGATTCAAGGACAGCTTGACAAACGCCCAAGATTGCATATGGGACTAATTAGTGATTTTTTTTTTTCTCTTGTCCATTTATTTACAGGAATAGACTAAAATAGGAAGCAAATGTAATGAAACAATAGCTCTGCTGCCAGAAATAATCATCGTCATCCGAGAAATGTGGTGATTTATTTATTTTTTTTTTGCCTATTTGGAATGCAGTGTTTGTTTCATCGCTGCGAGATCTGAGTCCATCACTTCTCCGCAAGTCAAAACTCTGGTCTGCGTCGTGGCTCCTGCTGAAACCCTGCTGAAAGTTTCCATATGTGGGGCAGCCCTCCGCACACGCTGTCTGTGGAAAAACTAGTATTTCCTACTGTACAGTCTCCATCAATAAAGGATTGAAGTGCCAAAAATATTTGTTGCTATAATTACCCCGGCCTACTAATTTAAGTGTGTGGGAAAAAATCACATTAGCACTTGTGTGGAAGACTGTGTTCACTTTTAAACATCCGAAATTGATGTGGTCCTGAAGTGTGGAGAATTGGATTGAGGCTTCACTGAGTTTGATAGATCCTGTTGGCACTCCAAGTTGTTTTTATATCTGCGCTGGCATATTATATTCATGAGCACAATGATTTTATGAAAATAGCCTCAGGACTGTTGTGGCTCAATTAGAACATTCAGCTGCAAGCAATTAGTCGACTCAAGTGGGTGATAATCTGTACAGGAATTTTTCACGTGGACACCTCCCCAGCAGATGTGAAACTGCATGGCAGTACAGTTTGAAATAATTAATTCATTGATAATAATATTCAGCGGGGTGATTTTTCATGTTCTTCTTTTCAGGATTTTAGTTTTTAATAATTGCATTTCCTCATCTGCAGTGATGATAATGACAATGATTGCAACCACAACTCATTCTCACCACACTGATAATATCTACCAGATTAACACTGTCATTTAAATATATTTCAATATTATTCTGTAATACATTTACTTGCACATGCACTAACCATCTGGTGCCTAGTTGTTATTGATTTAAATGTGACCAACAGTCCTTATCACAGGAGCTTGTGGAGTAGTAAAGATGACAGTGACATGTCTTGACTAATCATTTTCACAAAAAGAAGATATTTAGATATACAATATGAATAAGTGGTTTATGCCTATTGATTTTTCTTTGACTAATGAGCTTCATTGTAAGTATTCAATAACAAAGTCATTGATTGCTGTAACATAACATGGACGGGTCCCGCCATGCGTGCAGGTCATGGGTTTTCCAAGGAGCGTATCGTTGACAAGAATGATCAATGCAGATGGCTCTCTAACAGAGGACGTGAAATTCATCAGTGGGATTACAGGACAGCTATGAGGTAGACTTAGTTGATTTTCATTATTAGTCATTAATTAATTATCAGGAAAACAATCATTACCAGTCACCACTGAGTATTTAAACATACTCAATTTTATATCTGAACAGCTTGAATGTAATAGATTTTTTACAAATATTCTAAGGTTAATTGAGGCAATAACAGGTGTATTGTAATGTTGAAATGACCCAGCGATATTTTCCAACTTCTTGTCAATAAAAGAGAGGCAGTTCTGGAGACTAAATGATGCCGCTTACACTATTTATATCAGTGACAGGACTGCTTGCAGGGCTCTCCGAGGAGATCCATTGTTGCCGCCTGACAGCACACTGCCTTGTTCTTCCTCTCTGTACACACAGTCTTAGTGTTTATTTAAAGCACAGCAGATTAAGATTTCATAGAGATCCAGATTCAGCTTGGGCGTTTCACACAAGTTCATGAGCCATGAAACTGCTGTCTACTCAAGACTCTAACGATAAATTGTAAAGTGTATGAACAGTCGACAATGGTCTTCATCAAGCAAACAACTGCTCATGGACACTTATACAATCAAATGATTAAAAAAAAGAAAAAAAAAATCAAAAACATTTTTTGCTCATAAAATCTGTGGAAACAG